AGGCTTCCAATGGGTACCCCCACCTACGTGTCTATAACAGGAGCTGCGGATCTGAGACAACCAAGATTCAAATGCTGGGTATGTCGACCACTTTCTAACTGTGGCCTTGGTTTCCCTATCTGAAAAATGGGACTAGAAAGGGTGCTGGGGGTTAAAGTGAGATAGCCATTTACGCATTGCTGTCCAGTTAATTCCAACTTGGAACAAGCCTATAAACTAGTGTCGAACTGTCCCATAGGGTTCTGAAGCTGTCATAGCTATGGAAGTTGCCGCCACATCTTTTACCCTTGGAGCAGCTGGTGGGTTAAGCAGCTGAGACCTTAACCATGGTACCACCGGGTCTCCTGCAACGCATGCAAACTAATTAGCGCTATGCCTACCACATAGTAAGTGTTCAATGGTGTGGCCCTCTAGAATAAGCCCTGGACTGCTAATCCCAAGATTGTGGTTCAAACCCACTTTGGAAACCCTAAACAGAGTCACTATGGAGATGGAACTGACTTGATGGCACTTGTTGTTGTTGTTAAGTGCCGTCACTTAACTCATTATTTAGGAGTCCTGGTGTGGCACTGGATGGCTAACCACAAGGTCAGTGGTTCAAATCCACCAGTCGTTCATGGAAGGCTTTCTGCTCAATAAAGATTTACAGCCTCAAAAACTCTCTACAGGGTAGTTATGAGTTGGAACACAGTCGACAGCACACCAACCCGTCTTACTATGACTCCCTTCACAACGCCCCTCCTCATCTCCCCAGACCCCAGGCTTCCAGCACTCCCAGACCACTCCTTCACTCCCACACACCACGGTCCAATCACCTATACTTCAGACACTCTACCACCTCCTCAGTTCCCAGCCCAGATCTTAAAGTACCAGACTGCCCGCCCCCCCTAGCCCCCAAGACACTGAAGCCTGGAGACAGAGCACAAGGCAACCCAACCCCCTCCAACCTGCTGGGCACCACCACCCTCATACACTCCAGCTGGCTGAGACAGCTGTGCCAGGCCTTAGAAGGAGCCTCGAAAACCCACCGCACCCACCTTTGACCCAGCCCCAGTGTTTCGAAGATAGAGAGGATGTGAGGATATCGAGAAACCCCAGGACTATCAAATGGTCCGCCAGGCAAGACAACCACCACCCACCCAGGACTGCCCACTGTGGGTGGGGAAAAGACTGAGCAGGGCCTTGTCCAAGTGTGCACGGGGGAGGAGCCATATGGTAGAAAAAATAAAATTAAAAAACACGAGACTGTTTCCTCGTCCTTGAACATTATTACAACGGACATGAAGTAGATGATTAGAAATGGGGGCAAACTAGTCCAGAACCGAGATCCCCTTTCACTCCAGGATCTGAGGGACATGAATGTGGGGTCATGGATTCCCTAATTGGAGGGGGGGGGGGGGGTCACTGCAGCTCAGAGGCCCAGCCAGGAGCGCCAGGTGATCAGACAGAATTGCAGCGGCTTCAACCACTCCCGATCTCCCCAGCTCCCGGAGTCAGGGAAGCCAAGCTAAGCGACCCCTGGAAGCAAAGGCCACCAGAGGGCTGGGGAGGGGCAAGAGAGGGCTTGGGGTCCAGGGGTCGTCCCCCTGGACCCTGGATCTCAGGCCAGATCTGGGCCAGCGTGTACACTGCTAGAGGAGGGAGGGCCTACGGGAAGCCGGAACAGCCTAGGGCGAAGGGCCGTCTGGAGGGGCCCCGTGGGGAGCTCGGGACAGAGGGGGCAGCGGCAGCCGGGGAGGGGGAGGAGGGGGAGGAAGAGGCAGCGCCAAGGACCTGTGCGCGGGACGAAGCAGCCGGCGAACAGACGGGGACTAGGGACACTGTGTGGTTGGGACGGCCTGTGGAGGTGGCAGGATTGCCGAGGGGGTCGGGGGAGGGGCCGGCGAGGCCCGGGGGAGGGAGGCAGGGGTCAGCCTGCACTCAGCCCGCCCCAGGCCCTTGCCCCCTCCCCCCTTTCTTCTGGTTTCACCAGCATGAGCTCCACACCATGCTTCCTTTGCCCCGTGCCAGCTCCCCCGCGGCCTCAAGGCCCCCAGGCCCCTGAAAACTTTCCCGGAGACCCCCGTTACGCCTCACCCTGAGGTCCCGGCTGCAAAGCACCCCGCTTCTCCGATGCCCCTCCCCCCCGCCCTCTCTCGGACCCGCCCCCCTCCCGCGCCCTCCTGCCCCCGCTCACTCACGCGCTCCCCAGGGACCTGGCTCCGCTGGGCTCAGCGCCCCGACGCCAGTCCCCGACGCCAGTCCCCGCTGCCACCACCGACGCAGCCGCCCGCCGTCACCACGGACCGAACCAGAGCGAGCCCGGACGGGACTCCGCCCCTAGCTCCGCCCATGACCACACCCCCCAGGGCACCTTAGGAACATTCATGAAGTGATGCCACCCGGGAATGGGGAGCCCAGGCGGGACTCGCTTCTCTGTCTGCCAACAGTGCAGCCCCCGCTACTCAATTATTCATGAGTCTAGCAAATAAGGGGCCCGCCCAAGCTCGGACCAGGCGAAACTGATGCAACTCGCCTGGCCGTTAGGAGCGCTCGGGCCAAATAGCCACCGAGACGACTGCCTAGAGAGGAAGCTGCTGCTACATGGCCTGGGCCCAAGCCTGTACTCCAGGCAGCACCATAGAGTCCCAGCTAGAAAGAAGGGAGCCGTTGGCGGACCGGAGTGGCTTCCTGTTACCACCCCCAGAGTCCTCCTGAGCACGTACGCAACGTGGCCGCTGCACGTGTGTCGATTCAGATTTAAAGCCAGACCGAGGAAGATCAGAAGCTATGGTAGTGCAGTGATTGAAGCACTTGGCTGTGACAAATGGTCAGCAGTTTACCCACAGCAGCCATTTCGTTTTGGCAGGAAGTTAGCCGCCACAGATTTACAACCCTTGAAACCCTGTAAGACCGCGTAACAGCCCTGCTTTCCTGGATTATCTCCTGCTAGGCCTCCTTTCCTGGTGTGGCGCTGTGGGTTAAAGCACCAGACTGCAAAGCCATTTGAACTGCAAGGTTGGTGGTTCAAGCTCACCAGTCGCTCCTCGGGAACCCTATACAGGGTCACTATGGGTCGGAACCGACTCAATGGCACTTAACAACAATAGGCCTCCTTTCCAGATATGGATGCTTCCCAACTCCCAAATTTGTATTACCCTGGTGTAGCAGTATGGGGTAATGTGCTGGACTGCAAAATCAGTTTGATGTTTGGTAGTTCAAGCTCACCAGCTTGAACTTGGAAACGCTATAGAGTCCCTATGGGTCAGAACCAATTGGACAGCACTTAACAACTCTCCCTCCCATAAGAACCAAAGCTTTTACCCACCATTCCTGTTTCCCTGTCAGACTATAAAAGTGTGCGCGGACGGGCACACACTCACTGATTCTCAAGTTCCCAAACTCTCCAGGATCAGATTTCCTTTCCCCTGGTTGCAGGGAAGCTGGTCAATTCAGTGCTCTAAAGCCTGATTCAATTATCTCAAGCCTTTCAAGACCCTTGACTCACAGGTGATTCCGATGGAGCCAGAAGCTGCCTCTCTTTGCCAGGCTAATGGAGTGGAACTGTGAGAAAGACTGCCTAATTAGATCAGCTCTCATTTCTACACTCTCAGGTGGCCCATCCCGGCAGAAGAGGGTGAAAACCAATGCCTGTCCAGATGGGAACAGAACAGGCTGTACCTGGAGAATTGCTTCCCGGCTGGTCAGCTGGGCCCAGACCAGCCAGGGTGATATGGAAGACACACCAGGAAAAGCAGGGGCACTGCAACAGGGTTACAGAAGAGGCTTAAGGGCATAGTTTCCAAAGTCAGTTCCCTTTATTAAATGATTTTCACAGATCAGGAATACAAAATAAAAGTAGAAACAGGCCCCCCGTGAGGTGTGACCGCACTGGCCTCACATGTCCCCTGCTGCAGCAACTTGAGTAGGTCAAACAGGCAGCCGAGCAATCCACAAGGTCAGGAAAGCAGGATGTGGATCTGGAGCCCGCATGCCCTGTCTCCCAACCAGTCTCTCCCCAAATGAACAAGAGCCATTCTGGTGAAGCAGCAGAGAAAGACGGCTGTGCAGCGGCCCCAGTGAAGTGCATACCACCTGGAGAGCTTAGACAGATGGCCCAGAATCGTAAGTGATATGAGGAGAAACTGGTACCAAAACATGGGTGGGGAGACTGGGGTGGGGGTGGGGGGTGGGGAGTAACTGAGCAGACGTGGGGAGAAATTCCTCCCCTCTACTCATCCGATCCAGATGCTGAGTCCTCTGAGCTGGGGGGTGTACTGGCTAGTTCCTCTTCTTCAGAGTCCTGAAAACCACAAGGCTCTTCAAAGTCCTGGATGACCTCCCAGTCATTTTTCAGTGGTGATAGGTCCCCAGTTCCCCACAACTCTAGCACCCACCTTCAGAACCTTGGGATCTCACCTCCTCTCCACTTCATCTTATCACACTTATACCAACATAACCCAAGGCCCCTCCCAAGAAACAAATGCCCATTTGCCCAGTTAGGCCCCACAGCCCCGTTCCTGCCGCACCTCGCTCCGCCGCCTCTTCTTCTTGCCCTTGTTTTCCCCTGACGAGCTCTCATCACTAGACACAAACTCTTTGCTCTTGAAGCTTTCACTTAGCTGCCTCGACACCGACTTGGACGATGAGCCCCTCGAAGGTGTTGATTTCTTTTCCATCTTTACCTTTACTTTCTTCTTCTTTTTTGACTTGTCCCTGTATTAACAAGAGGGAAAAAAGGACCTTCAGACTACCCCTCTCAACAGCTCAGTTAAATCTCTCCTAGCGTTAGCAGGCCCTGTCCAAGTCCCAGCCTCACTGCCCATTTCACTACAAATTCAGTCAGCCCAAAGTCCCCCCAGAGAGCGAGCACTCCAGAAGTGAAAACATCAACAAATCATGGGTCCAGCCCCCCTATTATGCAAAACCTGACATCTCGTGCTTTATCTTAAAAAAATTACTATGAATTTTGCTTTATGTTTCAGTTTTAGTTGTTGTTAGGTGCCACTGAGTTGGTACCAACTCATAGCGACCCTATGTACAACAGAACGGAACACTGCCCGATCCTGGGCCATCCTCACAATTGTTACCACTTGAGCCCACTGATGCTGCCACTTTGCCAATGCATCTCGCAGGGACTTTTCCTTTTTCTCTGACCCTCTACCCTACGAAACATATCCTTCTCCAACAATTGGTCCCTCCTGAGAATATGTCCAAAGTATGAGAGACGAAGTTTGGCCATCCTGACCTCCAAGGAGTACTTTGGCTGCACTTCTTCCAACACAGATCTGTTGGTTGTTTTGGAAGCCCATGGTACTTTCAATATTCTCCTCCAATATCATATAGTTAAGTGCCATCAAGTCAGTTCCAACTCACAGAGAGCCTGTATAGGTTTCCAAGAAGCAGCTGGTGGGTTAGCAGTCCAGTGCTTATCCTACAGCACCACACAAACAGATACATCTATATAACTCCCTATACCTCAAAATAAAAGGGGCCCACCAGGATAGTGGATCACGTTTATTTACTGACGAGGACCGCTCTAGCACTGCCTTGTACTTGGGCCATGGCCCACCTTAAGGTGCACTGGCCTAATATAGTCAGAAGTGGAGCCACCATTTTTAACACCCCAATTCTCAACTCTGCCCTGCAAAAAAAAAGATCTGCCAAAAAAATAGTGGCTGTGGCGTTCTGTTCCCAACACTCACCTCTTCGAAGACTCTCCCCGGCCCCCTTCGTATTCTTTCATGGCTTTCTCATACTCCCTCCGGGCATCCTCGGCCTTGCGATCCCACTCCTATCAAACACAGAGAGAGAGAGAGAGAAATCAACATCAAGGAGACAGCACCACCCCATCCTACCCATCCATGCAGGCAAAACTTCTCCCTGCCCCCTCGATCAGTTACAAGTCACCTCCCCAGTAAGAGCCCCTGTCACCGGCCTGGTAACCCACCTCTTTCTTCTCTTTAGACATCCCTTTCCAGATCTCGCCAGCTTTCTTGGAGAGATCAGTGATGCTAATGCCAGGGTGGTCCGACTTGATCTTTTCCCGACTAGCATTGAGCCATAGCATGTACGCAGACATGGGCCTCTTAGGGGCGTTGGGGTCTTTGCCCTTTTTCGCCTACACAAGGAGAAACCACATCTCAGCTATTGATGTCCCCAAAGCCCTACATATCTCCCAAGGAAATGACCTAGATCTCCAATTTGGGGAAAAATGGAGAAAGGACTCTAGAGCAGGCTAGACTGAGAACTCTCTGAGGGCAGGGGTCGTAGGTTCATTCCTCTCCACACCCTAGTGCCTTAGTCAGATTTCCTACAAGCTGAACTTTACCTCAAGGACCAGAGAGAAAAATCTCCAAGAAGATACTCCTCCAGGCCCTAATCTGGCAGCCCCAGGAGGACCAACCGACAAGTCTCACTGGTGGTGGACAGGAAAGAAGGTATAGAGAATGGCTCCCCCCAAACACCCTCCAATCAAGCGGCAAGTCCGCACCTCCACAGGCTTCTTACGGCTCTTGCGATCCTTGGTAATCTTGGCCTTCTTGAGCTGTTTCCGCTTCTTCTCATCGCGATCGCTGTCACCCTCATTGCTGGAGGAGCTAGCAGAGGCGTTGCTATCAAACCTGCCAAAATGTGGGGCTTAGATGCAGGAGGACAGCGCCCCCAAACCTCAAAGACAGGAAGAACACAAATGCAAAGAGCCTGCCCAGGAAAGACAGAGGGCACCCTCTGAGCAGCACTCACCAACCCTGCTTCCTCGCCTTCAGCGAGGTCAAAACAAATCAAGGAAGGAAAGACACACAACAATGAGCTTCTGTTGCTCTTCTCGGTCCTGGCCTAACCCAGCCCCAACTCATTCCACACACCCACCCCAAGCAGGTAAGACAGAACCACTGTCTCATCCCTTCCCAAAACACAGCAGGTCCGTTTCAACACTTCTTTTTGGTGAATCACTTTAAACCACCCTAGTCTTCTGAAAGGAATGAGTAGAAATTGACTTAACAAAACTGCCACCGAAAGTTAGGAAATCCAACCTAGTTCAAAACAATTAAAAACAAGCACCTAGTGCCACTGAGTCAATGCTGACTCACAGCGAGCTTAGGTAGCACAAAGCGGAGCTGCCCATGGCTTCCCAGGCTCCTCACCTTGCTCTCAGAATGCTTTAACACTGTGCCACCAGGGCACAGAACAGACCCACCCAATACAGGTAGAACTCCTCAGACGTAACCTTTGCAGTGCTAAAACAGCTGAGAAAGCACAAGCTAGTAGACAGCCTGCTGCTTCCACTGTCCAACACTCACTCCCAAGTCTCTTGCTTGGAGAGCTTCTTTCTATGTGGCTGGAAGCGCTCTGGCCCCCACTCTGCTGCGAGCTTCACTCCAGTCGCAGACTCTAAGGGTGGACACACAGCTTGTTCTGGTGCCCACCAGAGTCCAAACTCAATCCAGCCAGTAAATCAGGCATCAGAGGAGGCACCTGGCTGCCCCCTCTCTGCTGGGTGTCGAACCAAGGGACACCACCTATCCTGAGCTGGGGGCACCATGGCACCCATCACACAGGGCCAGCTGCCTCCCAAGGCAAGTCCAAAGACATGAAAACAGAGCCCTCCCAACAGCTTCATCAGTATCTGCAGCTACAGCTCTGGGCTCTCCTGTTGGCTGCACCAACTCCTCAAACTCTTTGACGCTACCTTCAGTTTGAGTCCTGTTTCTGATCTGATATCACAGTCTTCACAAAGCACGAGGGATGCACTGTTAGAGGGACCACGATTAACCTATCTCCCAGCTAGTAGGCAGGCAAGTAACCGGCTCTCACTCCCCATGGATCCCCACCATGCTTTTCTAGCTCCACCTTGCCCTGACAGAGCCCGGGCTGCTTGGTGATGCACTTTCCTGGTGTTGACAGAAACTTACTGGAGGTCCCTTTTCCACCCTGGGCTAACGGCTAATGCGGGGACACGAGAAGAAGCATCTCCTGGTCCCTTAAGCTTACCAGTCGCCCCCTCACCTCTCCCTACAAAGTGCAACCAAAACTCACTCCTCGGCCACGTCTTCCTCCTCTTCACCTGGGTTGAATGACTCATCTAAAAAAGAGCACAGGCTGCGTCAGCTCCTGCCTCCCGTGGCGGAAAGCCGCTACCTTACACAGACACCCAGCCCGGGCCCCAGGGGCAGACAAGGCGTCTGATGGCCTCAGTGCCATGGCCCACCCACCCACCAGTTTCTTCTCCAGAGTCATCGCTGCTGTCATTGGCATTCTCTTCCCGGATCTTGCCCTCTTCCTTCATCCGCTCCAGATAAGCATCATGCTGGTCTTCATCCGAGTCAGCGTACTCGTCGTAGCTTGGGTTCATGCCCTAGCCAGGAAAGAGATGGAGTGAGGGCAGGGGTTCCCACTGTCTGGAGCCCCTGCATACTCAAAAACACGCCCCCATGCCTGTAAGTAAACTCAGAGCAACAGCCCCAGAAGACCCTGGGGCTGGGTTGTCCACACACAGCCACGTGCAGGGCCTGTGCCCAAGTACTTCCTGCAGGCTGGGTTAGCCCAAGCCCCTCCCTCTCCCAGTTCCACTGGGGCCCAAGAGGCTGCAGAGACTGAGCTAAGGCCATGCTGAGGAAACCTGCACCAGGAGGGGGAGGGGGTCACACGCACCTCTTTTTTCTATAAGGGTGAGAAGAGAAGAGAGGGTGAAAAGGAAGCCGGACAACTCCTGGCCCTCCCCGCCCAAGGACGGGAGAGAGGCCCATCCTCTCCACACATGTAAGTACCTCTTTTAGGCCTCGGTTTTTGATGTTGAGCTTCTTGGCATTGACAAAATCAAACAGCTTCCCATACTCCTCTCTGTCAGGAGAGAAAGCATGTTACCAGATGGGTAAGACTAACTCAGGACAGGACAGGCAGACAGTGGGGACTGGAACTCCTGACCTTCTATTCTAACCCTTCTATTCTAACCCAATAGCTCAGAAACAGCCCAGGGGACAGAAGGAGAGCAGAGTCCAGGGACAGTCCTGGAGGAAGAACCTGCAGGGCTCTCAAGAGGGAGAAACGGGTGTGTCTACAAAGGGGCATCAAAAAGTTTCTGAAAAACTAGAAGGAAAATACAATGGAAGTTTCCCACAAATGTTTAGCAAGCCCCCTCATTATTTACTAAACATGCACAGAATGTTGAGAAAGGGGGCATTTTCCGCTTTATGGTCTGTATCTCATACGTCTCAGAATTGTTGCGATGAGTAAATGTGCAGGTTGTCTGTAAAGTGCTTAGCTCACAGCGAGCAGCGCTCAATAAACATTAGCTGCTATGTTCTCAGGCACAACATTCATTCCAGGAAAAAAAGAGAGAACATTTCCATTGGGGGTGGGGGGGTGGAGTAGCATTGAACACACACAGCTTTTGTAACACAGAAAACAATCTTAAGTCAGAATGAAATCAATGGAGAAAATGCCAAAGGCTGAGCCCTCCAGAGAAAGGGCCCAAAATTCCCAAGCAAAACTCTGCCCAAGCAAGGCTGGAGAAGCCAAGACATGGTCACAGGCCAGCCTTGGTCAGGAGGTGCGAGAGGAGACGGAGAAGGTGCTCCCTCACCTCTCGATGCTGCTGAAGGTGTACTGAGTGCCCTGCTTGGTCTCGATCTCAAAGTCAAAGGAGCGAGTGGTGGTGGTGCCACGGGCGAAGTTGACAAAGGAGATCTCGTCAAAGCGGATGTGCACAGGTGGCTTGTGCACATAGATGAAGCCACGCTCCAGAGGGTACAGCAGCCCCGAGCTCGCCTTGTAGGAGCAGGTGATGCACTGGGCCCCTGAGTGCCTGGTTGTGGGGACAGGGAACCTGGTCAATACCAACCTCACCGCAAAAGAGCGGCCCAGAGTCCACAGGCACGTTCAGCAATGGAGACCCACACAGCCAGCCAGGCTCTTGACTGGCAAGTCTCACTAAGCTGCTCTGACAGGAGGCAACTGCCACCCACCACGACTCCGACTCGAGGGCCCAATGCAGGAGGGGCTAACCAAGAAGACACAGGATCTCCCAGGCCCTGGTCACACACACTCACCTGCCGCCCCACACACTCACCCTTGGAAGTTGCCTGGAACTGTGATCTTGCGGTTTACCAGCGCTTTCATGACACGGCTGACCATCTCGTAGAGGGACCCAGACATGTTCTTGGTGAGCCTCCCCTCGAAGCGCTTCTCCACTTCTTCCCTAGAGAGAGACAGGAGATCACCGGCCCGTCTCCTGCCTACATGGCAGGAGACAAGTCTAGGGAGACACTCACTCATTCATGTTGAGCGTCAGGGAGATGTCCTCATCCTTGGAGAAGAGGAGAATCAGGAAGTGATAACGGGTTTGCCCCTGCTTGATGGGGGGATCCAGGCTGATCTGGTAAGAAAATGGGGTGGGGTTAAACACCAGCACATGCCGCCAAAACCTGCTGATTAACCAACACAGAACTCTGAACCTGGGTGAGGCCCACCTACCAAAGAAGGGCTCAAGCATGCCAGGGGCTGCCTCCAATGGTTTCTGCTTACCACAAAGAACATCTGGCGTTGATCCTTGTGGGGCAGCAAAAAGAGACGGAGTACAGTGGTGTAAGGGATCTTGTAGTCAAAGGTCTTGCCATGCAGGTGAAGAAAAGTGGGGTAGATCCGAATGTCGTAACGGCCCCGGGGAGTCAGACACTGCAGCTCTCGGAAGATGCAAATGGCGTCTCCAGTGGCCTGGATCACATCAGCCTTGGACAGCACATTCTGGGCAAAGGCCTGCAAAAGCCCAGTTTATTACGGGATGGCAAGCTCTGCCCCTGGACCAGCCAAGGCCTACTCAGCACCACCTACCCCCAAGATGTCCAGGGCAGGCCTCACCTCCACAGGGTCCACACCATCCTCCTGGGTGGGAGGCACGTAGAAGCGCACCTCCATGAGAGAGACCTCAGCATCATCGTTCTGGTGGAACTCCAGTGTCACCTCATTCTTGCCTGTGGTGCACTGGGACACATTGCTGAGAGGTATCTCGAAGACTGGCTGGTCACCAATATCAAAAGAAAGCAGCTGCCCTGTGGTGAGGGTGGGGGGACTAGATCAAGACAAATGTCCCACTCTGGAGCCGGCATGATCGCTCCCACCAGACTGCAAGTGCTGGGAGCTAACCCATTCACAACGTACCCCACCCCCTCCAGTGCCTGATGCCCTGTTGTGGTTAGGAGTCAGTACCGACTCACAGCGACCCTGTATATGGTTTCTGAGGAGCGGCTGGGAGGTTTGAAATGCCGACAGTGTAGTTGGCAGTGCAGTGTCTATCCTACAGCATCACTCCAGGACTCTGCCTGATACATTAGCAGTGTTCAATAAATACACGGACACCACACAGACTGAGAGGAAACCAGAGATCGTGACTGGGGAGGAGACAGGCAAGCTCACCCCCAAACTTCACCGTCCCCCAGTTCCAGCCCTTCACACACAGGTCCTTCTCCATTAACTCAAGGCGATAGTGAGTTTTGAAGAAATCAGAGAGTTTCTCAAATTCCTGTGGGCAGAAAGGAGAATGATCCAATAAATCTGTATCCTTACACAGATTGGAATGTCCTGGGATGATGTATTCCTAAGAAACTGATCCAATAGACCCCTTTATCCGAAACCCATGCTGATTACATCTATTAATGAGTTTATTAGGATGTTCAAAGAGGTGGCTTCTGGGGAGCAGATCTCATGCTGAAAGAATGGTGGCGTGCCAAACCGACATTCCTGTTTATGGGCCCAGCAGTGCCACCAATCTTTAAATGTTGTATTTGTTGTTGTTATTCAGTGCCATAGAGTCGATTCTGACCCATAACGACCCTGTATAGGATTTCCGGTGAGCTTGAACCGCCGACCTTCCAGTTCAAATGGCTTTGCAGCCTGGCGCATTAACCCATGCAGCGCCACATCAGCAGTCCAAATGTTGTATAGGTATCACTTTAGTAAAAGCAAGCATTTAAATGAGGAAAAGTCACGATTCTGAAGCAATTCAAAAATGGTAAGCAAAAACATCAAGCCAAAATTATAAACTTGAATTTAAGGGAAAACCAGCAGGTAATAAAAACAGACCGCTTCTGGAATTGAGGCACAAAGACCCTCACAGGACTTTGACACCCCAAGCTTGGTGGCCTTAATGGCACCACCGTAAAAGTCGACCGACACCAGACCGACCTACAGCCATGGTGTGGGACCACGACTGTGTATACAAACCGGAACTGCTCCATGAAGTTTTTGAGGTTAGCCTCTTCATGGAAGCACATTGCTGGGCCTCTCTTAGAGGCGGCAGTGTGAGTTCAAACCATTAATCAACCTTCAGGTTCGTAGCCAAGCACCAATAATTTGTGTCACCTGAGGACCTTAGGCCCCACTATAGGCAAATGAAAACAACACAGTTAAAAGGGGATTTTTCACACTAGAACAGCTCACCGATTCTCGGAAACCGTCGTACTTGTAGACATGGCCATTCTTGGTGAGTAGTTTAAGTCCATGGCCCAAAGCAACACGACGCCAGATGCCTTCTGTCAATTCCCCAGCCTGGACGTTGTCTACTTTGCCAGTCTTGCTGTTCTTAAAGATGATACCTTGGCGGCTTAACCTCAGTCGACCATCATTCTGTTGGAAAAACAGGCCCAGATATACAGATGGTAATGTGCAGTTTCGTCAGCACCTTGTTCTCTTGCTCATGGGCTGACCAGGGATCAGTGCAGGAGAAACAGCTGAAGTGGCGAGGGCCAGCAAGAATGTGGGTTCTAATCCTGGCTCTAGGTCCTCAGTTTCCTTATGTGTAACAGAGATGTGGGGTTGAAAGATTGTGTTACTCAGGAATTCCTCTCAATAATGCCTCTCTTGCTGGGGAAACCCCAGGTACAGAAAACCTCATTTTCTGCACTTCACTTCACTGCAGCGATTGCATTTTTTACAATTAAAGGTTTTTGTGGCAGCCCTGCATCTATCGGCACCGCTTTCTCCACAGCATGTCTTTGCGTCTCTGTCACATTCTGGTAAATCTCACAATATTGCAAACTTTTTCACTGCGCCATTTACTATACATTTCAGGTGACAGAGTGTAAACATAACCTTTATACACACTGGGAAACCAAAAAACTTTGTGTGACTCACTTTATTGCCATGTCTGCTTTAAACTGTGGTAGTCTGTTAATCTCAGGTATGCTCGGGTATAATATGAAGAAGCCTCGTTTGCCAGTGTGCTGGTGGTTATGTGAAGCTGGTTCCGACTCCTAGCACCCCCGCAGAGGGTTTCCCAGGCTGTAAATCTTTACAGGCTCAAAAAGCCTCCTCTTTCTCCGATGGAACCAACCACTGGTAGTTTCGAACTGCTGACCATGAGATTAGCAGCCCGACTCGTACCCACTCCGCTGCCAGAGTTCCTTTTTGCCAGTGGAGCAGTAACATTGTCCAAGCCAGGTCTTGTTAACACACACACACTAACACACTCACTAGTTCCCTCCCTCCACCTGCATTAAAGCCCTCTCACCATGGAGCCTTTCACCTCCTGATAGACATCGTTGAACTCCAGCGTCTCAGCCATGCTGACCTGGGCAAGGCGCCCAAGGCTGCACTGGGGGAAACCGGAGGCACCGGGAGCTGGGCCCCAACTCCTAGGTGGTAGTGCGGAAACTCAGCAGGTTAAGAATCTGCATTCAAACGGAGGGCAGATCAACATGAAAGACAACACACTTCACAATGCTCCCGGCTGGGGCCAGGGGGGCAACCATTGGCCGCGCCTAGGTTGCCCCCGGATCTGCTCTGCCTGGGAACCCACAAGCGGGGCTCGCTCACTACAGAGCTGGCGGGCCCAGCTGGGCAAGGCCCAGCCTCAGCTGGAGAACCGGACCTGGAATAGCGCTTACACCCCAACCCGAAGCCCGCTCCAGAGCTCCACTGGGCGCCATGTCAACAAGCAACGTAACCCCAGAGCATGCTCGGAGCCCACACCTCGGCCCGCGCCCCAACACAGCTCAGGGGTGCAGGCTTTCCCTCTCCGACGCTCCCACTGCGCCAGGCCCCAGACCCACGGCTCCCCCATCTCCTAAAATGGAATCTTCCGCTTCCCGCGGATTCGAACGCGGAACGGACCATCTCGATGGTCCCGTGGGGGAGCGGGGCCCGCGCCCTCCTGGGGCACGAGGTCGGCGACCACCCACCTCAAGATGTAGCTTCGCTAGGGCCGGCGCGGGCGGTGGGCGCGCTGGGGGACGCAGGGGGGGGGTAGGGGGTGAGGAGAACGCAGGGAAAGCTTTTCCCGCGTGCGCGGCCCAGCGTCCCGCCACCGGAAGCCGCGCACAAACTATAGAGAGGAGGAGCGAGCTAGAGGGGCGCCAGCCTGGCTCGCCTGCGAAGCGGTAGTATAGAATGTCGGTAGCTCGGGAGGACCTGAAGGCGGCGAGGGTGTGGTGAAGTTGGCGCGCTTAAAGAGTTGCAATTAGACTAGAAAAGGGGAGCACGTGCAGTCTCGCGAAAGCCAGTAACACTTCTTAAGTGGCGGACTGGGCTCTAAGGGAAAATCGTGTCTATGTTGGAACGATGCATGTCCCTCCCTAACTCCTACACAATAGGGTTTTTTGTGTGTGTGGCGTACAAAAGAGTCTGTGAGACATGAAGAAAAATATTTAAAACTTGTGAAGAAATGAGCACTCCCACTGGCTGTAAAGAGAATGTGGTGTTGGCGTTCCTGAGACGCTGCTCTCCATCTGTGCCCTGTCCAGTGAGACTGGTGCCTTTTTGAAATGAGTTCACCTCCTGCATCCAAAAAATCCTCACATCTATTTAATCACAATTTTAGGGCCCTCGGGAAAAGAGGCTGGTAAAAGGCAGTATCAAGCTGAAGAGCTGGGGTCAGCTTCACGTTAGAGCCAGAACTCTTGAAACCACATCAGTTTGGGATTGCTCAAGTCAGGCTCTCCTCATAGGGTCCTGGGGTGGTGGTTGGTAAGTACCGTGGAGTCGGTTCCGACTCATAGTGAACCTGCACACGGTTTCTGAGGCTGTAAATCTTTACAGGAGCAGAAAGCCTCATCTTTCTCCTGCGGAACAGCTGGTAGTTTCTAACTGCCAACCTTGAGGTTAGTTAGCAGCTGGATGCGTAACCACGACACTACCAGAGGTCATGGTGTGCGTCTTGCAAAATCAAGAGATCAGACCCGGAAGCGATGTTTGAGTTGATTTAATCCAGCCTCCTTTTGCAGATGGGAAAAGCAAGACCCAAAAAGGAGTTTCCCAGGGTCTCCATGAGATGATGGTAAAGCTGGAGGCTGGAACCCAGAGCGCCTTGCTCCAGTACAGCTCTTGATGATCACTGTGACTCTCCATTTAGAATACTTGATATTATGTGTCCTGAATAAATGACGTGAGGACAGAATATTTCAATTCAAATTTTCCACGACAATCTGACTTAAAAAGCCAGTTTACTGACTCAATCCTGGGATAAGAGAGACGAAGAAATGGAATGCACTCTTGCCCCCTGTTTCTAACATCTGTGTGATGACTGTTCCACACAACCTGAAACATGAATTCAACTGAATCCCATAAATGTGTTTTAAAGCTTGCTATTAATTCAACGTATTTCTAGGCTTTGAACAAACTAGTGAACAAACTGGGGCGTGGCCTGCTGTAAGATAAACACTGGACTGCTAACCTCAAGTTTGGCAGTTCAAACCCACCAAACATTGCTCAAAAACCCTATACAGGGTCGCGATGAGTCAGAACTGACTTGACAGCATTTAGCAACACCAGCAGTGAGCAAGATGGAGGTAGCCCCAACCTTCCAGGAGTACATAATCCAATGAATGTGTCCCGATAACTAGAAAGCCATCATCATGCTTCGGGTAGACCTTCAGGCACGGACTACTGGAGTTAGACATATGTTGTTACGTGCCTTCAAGTTGGTTGTGACTCAAAGCGACCCGGTATAGAGTTTTCTAAGGAGTGAATGGTGGGTTTGAACTGCTGACCTTGCTGTTCAAACCAACCTTGCATACCGGTGTTACAGCACCACACCAGAATTCCCAGTATACAATTCTTTTATTCACCTCCTCCCAGAAGACTGAAAGAAATGTGCAAAGATCCTGACCCCTGGTCCCATGCTATTGGAGGCAACGCAAGAAGACAGGGAAACACACCTGCAGAATTGGGCAGCTATGAGCAGATACTCAGGGCTACTCAACTAAGGGAGAGTATGAGGTAAGGGGGATGAGACATTTACAAGAGGCAATTGGGCTACAAACCTCAAGGTCAGCAGTTTGAAACTACCAGCTGTTCTGCGGGAGAAAGATGAGGCTTTCTGCTCCCATAAAGATTTGCGGCCTCAGAAACCCTGTACAGGGTCGCTATGAGTCGGAACCGACTCCACGGCACATAACCAACCACCACTATAGAAAGAGCATGAAGCAGCTGGTCAGCTGCAGCGAAACAGAACAGAACAGAAAGGGTAGACAGAATGCAGCTAAAACACGAGTCCCAGAGGGCCCTAACCAGCTGCATCCCAGGCAATCAGGAGCCCAGGATTGGAGACCCACCCCTGCCGTGACATCACAGCAGTGTGGGGTGGAGACAAACATAAAGGGGGTCCACCGCCCTGGACCTACACTCTTGGCAGTCCAGAGTGTCAGAGCAGAGAAAGCCTGGACACTGGGTTACAGGTATCAGTTGCCCCCTCCAAGCCTCCGTCTCTGTCTCCTTGCCCTGAAGCCCTCTCCCTTGTGAGGCTGCCTTTTGGCCCCAGCTGGCCGCCTCTGAGCACTCCCACAGCATGAACTGCCTGTCAGACTTCTTCACCTATGAGACCACCAAGTCGGTGGTTGTGAAGAGCTGGACCATTGGGATCATCAACCGGGCTGTTCAGCTTCTGATCATCTCCTACTTTGTGGGGTGAGTGTGTGGCCCCCTTCAGGTGTGGCCTCCCCTCAGAGGGGAGGACCATCTGGCAGCCTTAGGGTCCAGCTTCCTGAGCGTCTCCCTTCTGGAGGAGAACAGCTTCTTCTCTGGAATCATGTCCTAAAGGACTGGCCTCTGCTGCTCCCAACCAGGATCTGGTCCCCAGATGAGTTCTTGACCCCAGTCAATCCTTCAGGGGTAGAGTCCTCCGAGGAGTGGGGTCCTTTAATATCCCAGGACAAGTCCCTGGTGGCCCACATTTCTTCTCCCCTCCCTCATCTCCTCCTCAGGCAACAGGCAGACCACCCCTTTTACAGCCTTTCATTCTCCTTGGTCAACGCTTTGATACAGGAGGCCAGGGAGGGGAGAGGAGAAGGCCCCGAAACAAGGGTGGTAATGGCAGGTTGATCAAGTTGGTGGCAGGACAGAACTGAGAGCCCGCTGGGCTGTGGAGATGTAAGAAATTCCTTCCTAACCAGGGGAGATGGTGAGAGGGATAAAGGGGTGGGGTGGGGGCGCACAGACACAAATCATACTCAAGGGAAGAGTTTCTGAAGAGAAAATGGCTTTTCTGAAAATACTGTAGAGTCCCTCCTCGAGAATCCAGAAATGCTCTCCTTTGTCCAACAACATAACTCCCAAGCAGGAGTTTTGTGCGTTGGGAGGTTTTGTATGAGTCCCCTCTCAGCCTTCACCCCTTGGAGGCTCCACACACACAAAGAGCCATGGATCAGACAATGGTGGGGGAAGAAACACAGCTTCTATCCTTCTTGGGTTTGGTTCCACAAACGGGTGGACATCAGGAAGTCCCCTCGAAAGCTTTCTTTCCTGGCGTGTGGGTCTCTAGTCTCATGCTGTTCCCTGAGACAATGGGTTTGTGTGTGAAGACAGTAAGTCGGTACCTAACTGGCATGAATCCTCTCAAGGAAGTCAGAGAGAGCTCCTGGGGGCTCGTGGGCTGAATCTGCGTGTGAGTAGGCCTGCTTGCCCGAAAGGTTGGGAGAGTGTATGAGGGTGTATGTGGCAAGGCATGTAGTCAAGTGTAAAGCAGTTTTTTGCTCCACAATCTTGTGAGAGCCAGTGAGCTTTGGTTCTGTGGACGTTGTAGGCAAGGCTGTATATTGGGTTCCTTGTGGGGATATTAAAGGATTTAAGTTTAAGGAAAAATGAAATACACTTGAGGTTCTCTGGCAACTTTGAGGTGTTACGAGATATGATATCTGCATGTGTTCTAGGTCTATCTCTCCAAAGACTGATTCAACATTGGGTCTTCAATGTTATGTGTTCATGGGTACATGTGACACTGTGATTGTTAATACCCCTGAGATGGTGCTTTGGTCTCAGTTCATGTAAAAGCTCTCAGCAAATTCTAGGACTGGTCTGGCTCGATTGGCCTCAGGTGGGAGATGGAGACAGACAGCTCCCGGATGAGCCCTCTTGGCCCCCCTGCATTTGTCTCTCCCACAATCCGATGCTGCTCCAAGCTGGAGCCCAGCCTGCGGGAGAGATCAGGAGAGGCTTTTTGGCGTCTTGATATCCAACCCCATCCATCTCACAGCCTGACAGCTCCCCATGGAGCAGCTCCTTCCAGTTACATCAGTGCACTCTGGCCCAACCCCCTGCCAGAACCCCATCTCAGTTCACAGGAACCCATGAACATCTTGATTTCAGGAATCCATTGTCATTAATTTAGCAAAAATGTATGGAGTCTTTCTTAGGCATTGCGAACCAAGAATAGAATGGTAGACAAAAATCCACAGGATCCTTAGCCTTGTATAGTTTTAAGAGATGAACATGAATCAGACAATATCCATAGACAAATAGAAAATGTCAACTGTGGCTCAGGGTTTGAAGAAGGGTTCAGAGTTCTAAAAGCATCATTAATAGGGAAGTATTTGACCCAACCAGGGAATGAGCGGAAGGTTTTCTGGAGAGGTGACATCTAAGCCAAGATCTGAAGGACGAGTAGGGAGCATCTGGGTGAAAGAAGGCAAGGAGGACGGCTCATGGCAGAGAAACCCACCTTGACAAAGGGAAAGAGCTTGGCAAGTGGGAGGAAGAAGAGAAGGTGGTTGTGGCGGAAGCAGAAGGAGCAAAGGCGAGAATGGTGTAGACAGGGCTGGGAACCTAGGAAGACCTCAAACACTGTCAAGGATCTATTGTTTTTATAGAAGAATAGTGAACGGGAAGCAATTGAAATGATAAATATGTGTGTGAGAGAGAGAGAAAGAGAGAGGCAGATGGACATCTGGGTTGGGAAGATAGCACTGTCTGCTGTGGATACGTCAACAATGGGTTGGAGCCAGGTAGGAGTGAGTGATGGAGTCCCTGGTGCTGCAAATGGTTAAATCCTCCACCATTCACAGAATGGTTAGTGATTCAAACTCACCCAGGGGGGCCTGGGAAGGCAGTCATGGAATGCTGCTTCCCAAAGGTCACAGCCTTGAGAACCCCATAAAGCAGCTCTCCTCTGTACACATGGGCTGCGGTGGGAATCAGCTCAGTGGTCACTAACACTGACAACATTGGGAACAGATACTGAAAACCAGGAGTCCGTGCGGCTGTGGAGAGAGAGGCACGGGTGGCTTGCGCCCGCTAGAACTTCAAAGGCTTTGTTTGCTGTGCTGTGAAAACTTAACTGATACTTGCATCTCTTCTGGAGAGTCTCTGCCAGGTAGCCAAGATCCCCAGCCTCACCTAGGGCACCGGTACTCATAGGCATTCACAGCTAGGCCCCGCCCAACAGCCTTGGGCTCCCACTCCCTCCCTGCCTCCAGCCTGGGCTGCTTGTCTGTGGTTGACACCACTTCATCACTGGTTGCCTTTCCCCACCGCAGGTGCACAGAGGAGCTAGGACACCGCTGGGGCTGCTCCCACATCTCCTGGGACCTCCTCATTATCATCAGTGTCCTCTGTGAGACTTCCTCAGAGCAGTTCATCCCCTTTCTGGATCCTGTGGGGACGTGAGCAGGAAGTAGAAGGGAGTCCCTGGGATCTGAGTCCCTGGAAACCTTGGTTTGAGCTGAGGTTGGTTTCTGGGTCTTTCTGGACATTCCCCAGCCCTTCACTGTTCCAGTCACCTCAGACCTCCCACTCTGCAAGGCCCCAAATCACAAACACACCCCCTTTGGTTCATAACAAATGCCCTGCTATCCCAGTGTGGTGCCATCCTGTCTCTTTCAACTCACAGCCTCCCCATGAGTCAGAGTAGAACTGTTCCTTCGTGTTTCCAAGACTGCAGATCTCAACAGGAACAGACGGTCTCATCCTTCTCCGGAAGAGCAGCTGGGTTTGAACTGCCGACCTTGTGGTTAGCAGCCCAAAGCTTAACCCACGATGCCACCAGGGCTCCTTTCGGTTCATAATACTCAGTCTAATTTTAATTCTTATGAAGAGCCCGAATACATACAGCTGTTAAAAAGGAGAGTTACTCTGGCTTAAAGAGAAAAAGAAAAAATGAATCCAATGCTGCCATGAAGTTCACTCTGACTCATGCCAGTCCCATGGTTTACAGAGTAGAACTGTCCCATAGGGTTATCTTGGCTGTCAAATTTAAGTAGAAGGTCCCTGGATGGTGCAAACAGTATATAAGCTCAGCAGCAAAGCTAAAGTGTGGTGGTTTGAACACTGCACCCCTGTGTATTGTTACTCTGTAACACATGAGGTTACTGGGGGTCAGAATCGACTCAAAGGTTATGGACCCATTTTTATGGAAACAGATCAGGGGGGGCAGGTGGTTTCGAATGTCCCACCTTTAGGTTAATTGTTGTTTAGTGCCATCAAGTCAGTTCCAACTCAGATCGACCCTATATAGGGTTTCCAAGGAGTGGCTGGTGAGCTTGAACCACCGACCTTGTGGTTCGAATGGACCATGCAGTCCACAGCGCCACACCAAGATAAATTGGGTTAGTAGTTGAGCACGAATCATTGGTGTCACCCAGGATAACTAACACAGAGGGGCCTCAGTTACACCCTCTTGACCCCACCCCGTTCTCTCAGTCCAAGGTCCCCTAGAGTATTGTGGGAAGACTTGTTGGAATCCCCCATTTTACAGTAACTCCCATCCCTACCTCTCAGAGGTCTCCTGTAGCCGCAACCCCCATGAAATACGAACCATTGTGAACTTGTTTTGAAGTCAGCTGCTTGGTTCTGGCACCACCTAGGAGTGTGACTTTGGTTTCTATGACTCTAAATCTCAGTCCCTGTACCTGGTACCTGGGAAGCAAGGCTAGGAATACCTCTTCCCGTGATGTTATAGGTAAGGGAGACCACATAACTAATATTCATAGATTCCCGGCACGCCTCCCCCTTTCCCTCTGTCTAGTTCACACTTTTTGACAAGGCCCCTCTGTCTCCGCCCCACACAAGCACACCCTCCTCACACCCACTCCTGGCCTCCCCCTGACTCCTTGGGGGTGGACAGGAGGTGCTGGGATGGCTGCTCTGGCCTCTTTTCTTCACATCCCACCTGCACGGAGCTGCTACCCGCCTTCCGCTCTATAAATAATAAACCAGGAATGCGAGAGAGAAAAAAAAAAAAAGTTGGAGTGGCAGAGTAAATGCCAAGAATCCAAGGCTTAAGTCCTGCCTCATCTCTGGCCTCTGGAGACAGACACGGCCTGTTTCTTCTAGAAATGAAGCACTCCCCTTCTTTCAAGAGGCTTCAGGACATCATCCTTCCCCCCCCCCCCCCCCGCTGGGGCCACTGAAATTCTTCCGTTTGTTATTTAACTTGGAGGGAGAATTCTAATGTGCCTCTTCTCTCCGCTGGGCCTGGGCGTGAGAAGGAGCCTTTGGAGGAGGAGGGAGGAGGGAGGAAATCAGTTAATTATTCCTCTGAGTCTTGGCCCCTTCCTCCTGAGACTTTCCTGAGCCAGGAGTTCCTCTCCCTGGTGATGGAGCAGAGGCCTGCAGGAAAGGAATCAGGATCCAGGCCAGGGGGCAGCCTGACCAAGAGAGCCCTGCTGGAGACCGATAAAACTGTGGGTGTGTGG